AGCGTCAGTCATCGAGGTTTGTAACAGCGCGATCCAGGGCACAAAGATCTATCGATGAACTTCAGGCAACTTCTGTGTCATAATCTCCAAGCAGATGTTGAGAGGGAAACTCCAGCTGCCGTCTGTCTGACACTTGTTGCCCTGAAGTGTCACTACTAGGCACGCACAGGAGAAGACAACATCCCAACATCTGCGGGAAACTGAGATATATACTGCGTTACGTTTGTCCCAGATCGTTAGTAAAATCCTTACCGTTACCGTTCTATTGATTACTGTTTAAGAGGGGCACGGCAAACTACTTTTGCCGATCCGTGATGACAGAGAAAAGGAATAGACGACAATAAATGAAACAGATATGATGTAGATTGTCATTTCGGAGGAGGTTATAATGGGCATGGCATCAACTTGGAAAAATCAAAAGTAGGCATCTATGCTGATAAAAGAACTACAGACAGAATGATATTTCTAAATCAAGGGTTTCGGTCGGTCTATATTAAATGGATGATAGTTTTACAGGTCATTGAACGTAGAAATTAATACATTGATGTCGACGAAATGACATATAAACTGTGGGGACAGGTGGACAGAAGCTGAAACCGATTTCTTGCCTCCGCCATACGTAACAGATCACGCTTTTATAGATGTGTATTGTTAGAAAAATAACTACAGCTTTCTAGGAATTAACATTTGTTTGAAAGAAAGGGAAGCGGGGAATTTGAAACGATTATTTGCTCTGCGTTCGTCGATAACTGACGGGGTTCTGATTATTTCCTTAGCTTCCCGGGCTTTTTGAAGATATCTGATGCTAAGACTGATAAAGTCGCAACCTCGAAATGTATCAAACTTTCATTAGAATCGATCTCCAAGCAGATCTTAGAATGAAGTGACATATGAACGAATTCATGAATGGATGAATGAACGAAAGAACAAATGAATGACGGATGGACGATTGAATGGAATAACGAATGAATGAACGACCAGGACAGCCAGACGAAGTAACGACTTTCCATCCTCATATCTGCTTGGAGATTAGTATTTAGGCAATAGAAGTCCCGAAAAGTATAACATTCACCGAGTATATGTACGTAGAAAAAAGGACACGTAAAGGAAAATATACTGTTAACCCTTCTTCATAACTACGACAAAAGGCGACTGAAGATTCGCAAGTTCGATATCCAACGCCATTGGTTCAAGTTCAAGCGGTGCCTGCATAACGCCACCTACCGGGAAAGTAAGAATGACATTTACAGTGAGGCGTAGTCTTTATTTCAGGTTCATGCCTGAAGGCTAAATTAACAAGGATAACGAGGACAGAATACGTTGAAAAATGGTCTAAAACTATGTGCGAACATAAAGTTCTATTAATCTAAATATCAGCGTCAACTTTTCGGGCAGCAAAATGGAGTTGACGGTCCCTTACTTAACTGGATTCACAGTTATCTAAGTGACCGGTCCCAGAGAGTTGTCATAGATGGACAGACTTCTCCCTGGTCCAAGATCGGCGCAGGTGTTCCCCAAGGCTCTGTGTTAGGACCATTACTGTTTATCATATATATAAATGACATTGTAAATAACTTAAATTCTTTACCCTTTTTATTTGCGGATGATAGCTCCCTACTTGACGTAGTTGATAACCCGACCGCATCTGCATATAGGCTTAACTCTGATTTGAGTAAAATTCTGTCTTGGTCCAAAAAATGGCTAATGGAACTAAATCCATCTAAAACTGAAGAGATGTCATTTTCTACTAAAAGATCCCCTATCACCCACCCTCCTCTTTATCTTGGGTCGTCTAAAATTAATTGTGTCCCACACCATAAACATATTGGAGTTATATTGACCACCAATATGTCTTGGCACAACCATATTATTCAGATGTTAGCCAAAATATCCAAACAGGTCACTGTACTTCGTGGTTTAAAGTTTAAATTACCTCGCAATGTTTTAGAAACCATTTATAAATCATTTGTCCGTCCCTGTTTGGAGTATGCAGATGTGATCTGGCATGGCTGTACTGCTGAAGACTCCGCTCTTGTTGAAAGAATCCAATATGAATGTTCTCTTATCGTCTCAGGAGCAGTTAAAGGCTCTTCTTACTTATCTGTTTGTCAAGAACTGGGTTGGGAGTCTCTTTCTAGCAGACGGCATTTTCATCGCTTATTTTTATTTCATAAAATAGTTAATGGCCTAACACGGAGATATCTTTTTGACTTAATCCCCCCTGAAATTTCTCAAACCACTCTGTACAATTTAAGAAATAGTAACGACTTTCGACTTTCGTTACAATTTACTAATAGGTTTAGTAGATCTTTTATACCCTATTGTTTAAGTCATTGGAATGAACTGGACCTGGAAGTTCGTTCTTTACGATACTCCTTGTTCCGAAAACACCTTATTAGATTAGTACGCCCCCTTTGTCCCCCACATCACAATTGTGGCCCCGTTACACCTGCGCCCTTCTTGTTCGGCTCCGCATCGGCACCTGTGCTCTCAATCACAGTTTGTTTACCCGAGGACTCTCTACCAGTGCCTCTTGTAGATGCGGGTGTCGTTGCGAATCTGTCATGCACTTCATGCTACATTGTCCATTATACAATAATGAGAGATCGGAACTTTTTGGCAATCTTGCAGATTTACTTGGTCATCTTTTCAACCTTAATAATATGTCAGATAATGCTAAACTGCACTTCATTCTTAGAGGCTCCTCAATGTTACCCTCTATGTACAACTTTAAAACGATGCAACTCACTCAGGTTTACATTGGAGATACTAAGCGCTTCTAGCTCTGCTTGACTGTTTCTAACAGTCAATTAGATATAGAAGTCCAAATACTACGTAAGTGTTAATGGGCCTAAATTCTCCTCCTAGCTCTGATTGGCGGATGTTTTTCCGCCAATGAGATATAGGAGGTTACCATGTAATCTTATCTTTCAAATAGCTCTGTTAGCATTTAATTTAATATTTTAATGTCTTGGGGTGGTGGGACTACGGCGCACA